ATATGTTTTATTTAATAACTTATTTCTTTCATTCTGTATAATCTGCTTATTATGAAAGTTGAATATTTTTCAACGATATCATTGGCAAACCGGTATCGCCGCGCATGGCCGCCTATTCATCGAACATGATTGGCGAGAGTACGTCACAGGATTTGTTACCACCCGGTTGCCATGGCTTTTACGCCTTTCTTATTCGCTTGCTTTATCCCCAACTTCACGGTCTCTTCTGAAAAGAGTAGGAATATTGAATACTATTGAAATATCCAGTGGCGGTGTCATTCTTTTGATCATTATTACTTTATTTCATTATTTTATACCGGTTATCCTAAACTTTATTCCTATATTTTTCGTATATTTGATAGTTAAGTTGTGTTTTATTGTTTTGTTATCTTGTTATAATGTTTTTCGTTCGTAGTTTTTAATTATTAATATCAAGTTTGATCGTATATTTGTGTTTTAAAATGAATAAATTTGTTAAGGGTAAGACGCTACATAGTCAGACAAGAGAAATAAAATGAAAAGCACCACATTTTACCTAAATATTTTAGCTAAACTAAAATAAATATAAATAAACGTGGATGAAATCTCATTTGGTTTATTTCCTTGTGTTCATAATAGGGTTTGCGACGAAGAAGCTACAGAGAGTTCGCTTAAGTTGCCGCTTAAACGTAAACTTGAGCGGATATTTCTTTATACCGGAGCTCGGAGTTAGCGTATCGGCTATAAAAAAATTCACACAGAAGATAAAAAAAGGCTGGAAACTAACCCCGATAAAATGATATCCAGCCCTGGAAAGAAACGACCACGTGAGACTACTGTTGAAACGCTCGACGACTTTTTCCAAGTGGTCAGGAATTTGATAAATAGATTTTATCTCGAATTCAAACTCGTCCCCACAATTAGAAAGCTTTTGCAAAAATTGCAGGAAGAATCGAATTTTCCTTTGGCAGGGAAACGCTAAGGGGGTTATTAAAATGAAATGAATTCTTTTGGCGTAAATGTCAAAATAACAGATAAATATTAATGGAGCGGCACATTAAATTGCAGAGAGAGATAAATATATACGCGAAATTCGAAAATATAGCCAAGTATTATCTATTTGGATAAAACATATGGGTCGACAATGACCTAACCTTTAAAAAGTGCTGGCGGAGCTATACCATATCTGGTGTAATAGGCAATATTGGATCTACTGGTGAGTAAAATTATGTTTTGTTTGCGCTTCCAAAGTTAACTATTTTGAAGATTTTTTTTGCTGGAAATAGTTATATCTAAAATTTTGTATTATAGAAAAAAATATAGTTAGTACAGATATATAAATAAATATACCTCAAGATTCAGTCTTGATCATCTGCTGATGGCAGATATGGTTAGCGAAACGTGCGTCCAGTGTAAAATTAAAAGTGTTTTGGTGTATTGTACTGATTCAGTGTTTTATTTTGCTGTGTAAGACCAAAGGTTCCAACCCCCAGCTGTAGTTATTTCTTCTATTATATTAACAACACATAATAATAAACTGATTCAAAATATTTAAGGGAGCTTTAATAAAAGCTTTTAGTGTTTATCTGCTAACTCAACAGTAACGATTCAAACAGCATAAAGTTTTTTGAAAAAATTATTAATCTGAATATTATATTTATGATGCACATTATTTTCATAAAACACCGTACGCCCATGCCTATTTTATGAATGAAATTGGGCGTGTTTTGTTTACAACTGCGTTCCCCTGCCGATACCCCGTAGCTACAGATCCGTTGGTCACACTATACATGTGTGGAAGTAAATCGCATAGGGATCTTATTAAGTCGGAGTGAGAGAAATGCGACCGACGCGACGCGCGACGGTGTGCTGTTGCGGCGTTGCCGATACGCCTTTCCCTATCAAGTAAAGTAAAATTACGATCGCAAACCGCTTATTTTTAAAAGACTTTTTTTTCAAGAGATAACTAGATAAAATCATTAGGTTTGTAATGTTTCTGAGCATCTGAAATGGAATTATAAGGATATCGTTAGGGTGTCATTTTTTTATAACGAGAAAACGTCAGTAATCGCGATAATTTAATAACTCAACTTTTTAACACATAACAGGCCATAACTCAAGAACCACTTTAGATATTGAAACTTTTTTTTTTATTTTCAAGATCCGATATTTTACAATATGTTTACATAAGAAAAATTCGATAAGGTTGTTTTTTCCATTCAAAAATTGTAAACAATCCATCCGTTTACTTTTAGAGCATAGCAATTTTCAGCAATCGTGTAATTTTTTTATTGATAAAGATTTTCATATACTGTCTACAAAGAAAATACAGCGGAAATATTAACAAAGTTCTTGAAAAAACTACAATCTATTATTTCTAATAGATTTCGAGATATCGATTTTTGAATTCAGAGTTCTAATAGCGCGACCACTATCGAACATCCACTCAATTCCACTTATTTTTACCAAAAATGCAAGTGTTTCTAGCTCGCCCTTAAAAAAATTCAAGCTATAGGGAAAATTACAACGGCTCGTTAATAAATAAACAAATCAAGTATCACGAGACGTAATTAAATCGTGAAGCTGGACGCATGACGTACACCTTCCCATAGAACTTTAAGTACTGACAGAGGTATTGATTGGGTCGACCCATAGAGAAAGTTAATAGTTTAGAGAGTGGTGAATCGCGTGGTAAAATGTTGGGAGATTGCGCTATTAGCGCCCTCTACTTGGCTACAGGAACGAACTATGAAAGAGCGGGAGATTTAAATTATTATTCTGCTTATTATTTTTAAGGCAATTAAAACTAAGAGTGCCCTTAACCAAAAACAGTGAAATAAATGGAGATACCTACTCAAATTTTATATTATCATGATACTAAAGGATATAAATACAGCATTTATAATCCTTTTACACCTTTTTATTCAAAGTCTTACATGTTAATATAAAATTTGACTATCTCCATTTATTTCACTATTTTTGGTTAAGGGCACTCTTAATTTTAATTTTCTTTTTTATGGGAAACAATTAAATGGGAAGAATTGAATGGGAATGGAAAGAATGACCAATTATTGTATTTTGTATTAATTTATAATACCCCTATTCTACTAAATATCTAGCTACATTGTACTTACAGTTAAAATAGCTACATTGTACTAGTTATATACATATTTACAGTTTTATGATGGCTATTATTTCTTTTCATCGTGCTATCAATTGGTTCGCTCCGACTTGAGTACTATACCTCGAGATGGCTCCAGGAATTATTTACCTTTACAGGCCTAGAATATGAAGATTCACAGTAGAATTTTTGGTTTTACTGCCTATTAGAAACAAACCTACCCTCCTACATCAAGGGACATACAATTATGCCTTGTTTCCTTCCATTCTATATCCAACATCCAACTTAGCGGACCTTCTGGTTCACAACAGGGCCTAGACTGGATGATATTTTAACAGAATAGCCCTTGATATCTCTTTTTATACTTTCATTTAATAATTAAATAGGAGAGCTGGATGGTATAATTTCTAGAAAGAATAGCCTGTGAAATAAAAACTTCTGCATGGACATCACCTTTCTTACCTTTGTCTGCTATTTTTAATAAAAAAACAACTGTTTAGTTTGCACAAAAATAAAATTAACAATCAAAAATTTCTTAAAAAATGATCAAGCCTTGTATTACGCCGTGCCGGTTTTTGAACAAACAAACAAAAGAATGAGGTTAGCGGCGTTGCCAATGTCAATTTTTTAAACTACCCAAAAATCTAGTCCCGATTCACCAAAAATTCCCCATATGATTATTTTAACAAAAAAAAATAATTTTAATAAAAATACAATATTTATTATATATTATGTTAGAGGGATTAAACTGTAAATTACCTCCTTGTTTTTTAATCCCTTCCCTAGAAGTCATTAAATAATTTCAGGTCACTAAATTTTCTTTCAACTGAAGCATTTGCAAAGGGAAGCACAAGTAAAAAGCAGATTATAATTTTTAAGTTGGGAAAGATATATCGTCCCGCTCCGTTTTTAAAGCTAAAAATTTTACGCCATTTTCAATCAGCAAAAAATGTTGAAACTCCCCTTATTTTCGCCGCCTATTAATAATCCCCACAAAATTCCTAATCGGCTCCGGATTCCCCAAAATTTGGGGAATTCCTCACAAATTGGCAACGCTGGAGGTTAGCGTGTTCTTTCTGAATATGCTAAGACTAACGGACTAGTGTCGAAACACAGATAGCTAGATGGACGTATTTCGGCACTTGCGTCGATGCGCTACGGGAACATTTGCCTGCGCGTCGTATGTCTTCTGGCAGTCTTTTAATTTTTCTGTTTGTCTATGGGTCGACCGGTCAACTGCGACAAATCTGTTATATCCCCTTCCACGTCTCTCAACGATGTGCACAGTTTCTCGGTTTATTTCGTACGTTTGGCAACGTGTTTACTGTCTTCTCTTTGTTCATTACATTATAAACGCATTGTACGAACATATTTACTTATTTTTATCTGCAGATTATGCAATGGAATCTGTTATATTTAACTCATTTTTACTCAAGTATTTTAAACATGAATAATATCATAGCGAGTCTTTTATTCCGTTAAACTGCTTAAAATGGTAAAAATGAATATTGTTGCTTAAGTCTAAAAGTAAACGTTTTTTTGTGGTGAATTTTGTGTTGAACTTTATAACCCTACGCCACTGTTGTGTAGTAAAGAGCAAACCTGTACATTGCCATCGAATGATCGAAGCTCATCCAGACTGTGAAAAGGATGAGACAGACCACCACCCTTGTTCTTGCATTATTACTGGAATAATAATTTTGCTGTTATACCCCATTGACGGCTAAAACAAGTCTAAAGAGAATGGGGAAAATGTCAAACTGAAAATGGGAATATCAGAGGAGCTCGGTATCTTGTAAAACCAGTCTCAAAATTAATTTTTGTGTTGTTTATTTAATAAAATAAAAAATATATAACATAAGTTGGTTGGATTTATGAATTTTGTTTGTTTTCATTTCAGAGTGAGGTGTGTTCGAGCGCTCTGACAGATGTCATCCACGCTGTGATCAATGGTACCGACGGATGTTTGTTTTGTTTCGGACATGCCGGACTTGGTAAGTGTTTTTTCACTTCCGTGTTTTTTAAGTAAAAAATTAATTAAAAGAATGTATATTCTCTTACTCAGTGGTTTTATACAGGTACGGACGAAAAGTTATTACTCTTCAAAACAGTTAAAACACATATAGGTGGCGCCCCCTCCAAATAGAAGTTATATTGACATCAAATTTATCTAGTCAAAAAACTCCCAGACACCACAGCTACCGTAATTTTGGAGTTACGATTTTTTAAAATTTTTAACCCCCTCCCATACTCCCTTACCAATCCCCCACTCCCACCAAAAACTAATGGTTCTCGGGTGCCACAGTATTTTTGTGCCAAATTTGGTTAAAATCGGTTTAGCGGTTTTTGAGTTATCGTGTTACAGACAGACGGACAGACGGACGACCATACCTGTTGGTATGGTCGGCTAAAAAACAAAGCTGTGAACGTATCTGTTAAAAACACGAAACGTATAAGAACGTACCTGTGATAAAATAGTATACAGGGTGCTACAAATTCGAGGTAAGAGCATTGGTATCTCGCTAACCGTAATAGATACGGACATGGTTAAATTTGGGCAAAGTTGCGCTTTGGGATGTTCACAAAGATGCCATCAAAAAAGTTTCAGAAATTTCAAGGATTGCTGAGTTTTTTGAAAAAAAAAACTGATTACTATCAGATAACGACAGGAAAAAATAAAATTATTTTTCAAAAAAATTAGTTTTTTCCAAAAAACTCAGCAATCCTTGAAATTTTTAAAACTTTTTTGATGGCATCCCAAGTAGCAAATTTTATTTTATAAAGGCTGTATAAACAGCTATGTGATAATTTTTATAGGATACCTCAATTCATATAACGTGCTATAATACCGTAATATGATAGCTTTACAACCAAAAAAGGCCCATTTTTATTCAACCGTTTAGTAGTATAGAAGTTCTATAAAAAGGGTATACAACTCTTATGCAACTATTTTACATAGCATTATATAACTATTATAAAACTTGTTTTATTGTGTATTACGTGGTCACATCTAAGAAACAGAACAATAAAAACATTTGATCATTTAGCGAGGTAAAAGAGTATTTTATTTTTTACCGAAGAATATTAGGAGCAAATTATATTTTAAGCGTGTCGTAAAATGAATCTAGTGGATGTGGATTGTTAAAAAGGAGACTTTACTTGACAATGAAAATGGCGGGTAGAGCCAGAAGGTACAACAAATATGGAATATAAAAAATCATTAATAGGGTTTGAAAAGTAGGGACAATTTTTGTTGCGCCGAAAATTTTACTGGTAGATTATAGGTATGTATTTGGCAAAAAATTAAAGCGCTTTAATTTCGATTAAGGTTTTCGTACAAATTTAAACAATAAAATAAAATAAACTTTTCAAAAATTTTTGTTTTTAATTTAATTAAACACTTTATTACTGTATGTGGGAATCTTATCACAAAATAGTTCTCAAAAATAACATTTTACAATTTATTTTGATGTTTTTAATTTTGCTCATATAATGGCGGCCATAGGCCATACAAAAATTCTGCCTTAAACATGGCGAATTATAATGCAACCATTTTATCATAAATGAATCCCTTAAATAAGTCTTTGTTGTAAAATAAAACGGTATAGGATAAATATCTATCATTACGCAGAATTTCCAGGCACTATAGAACTATTTTGGATATATTGAGATTTGTGACAAATAGATGTTGCCAAATCTCATTTGATTAGTATTTAAACTAAGAAAAATGATCAGATTTTCATGGATTCGTGCACGCAATGCATTTCATGCGTGCCCGACGAGTGAGCGGCAACCTAAAGACTGGAAAAACAACAATAAAAAAATACAAACATTACTGCAGTAAAACTTTTTCATCAACGTGGCAACAATGCTTTGAAGAAACCAGACAACCCGAGAGATTTTGGCTTTTGGTAACCCAGGGAATTCTCGGGATTATTTACCGTAATTTCGAAGAGTTTTTTCTTACATGCCCTTTATAACTACCACTGCGTTTGTTAACTTTTTTCCAACTTTGTCCAGAATTCATAATAGCTGTGATTGATTATACTCGTACGTAGATATTACTTTTGCAACAACAACAATAACAAAATAAATAACTAGGTATACCATTTAATTTAAAATGAGGTTATATTATACATTACCAGTTTTATAATGCAGATATTACAGCGAATTTATTTTGTTAATCACAATTTTATCATATAAGGCTATATAACTGGTGTTGTATACAGCACCGTAGTTTAACGCAATAAAACATTCTATCATACAACGTAATACAACTTTAATAAGACAAGTTTAAGTAACTATTATATGATCTTGTGACTACTAGTTATATGAATATTATAGAACTCTTACATGGTGGGTATAAGAGTCTAATAAAATAATATGTTTGTTATCATATAGCATTATCTTATTAAGTGTTATATCATACTAAAAAGAAATTATCGTTTAATGCGTTATAGGATACGTTGTAAAAACCACTAGAAAATAGTTTAATATGACAACTTTTATTAAAAAACAGAATGGTCGAAACCAAACGCTTAATAAAATCAAGCAGTCCTTAAGACAACGCTATTCGACTGTTATAAAATAATTCAATCCTTTTAGAATTTCTTTTTGCTACTTGGGATCTTGGTGAACATCCCAAGACGCAACTTTGCCCCAATTTAACCATATTCGTATCTATTACGGTTACGGTTACCAATGCTCCTCGTACCTCGAATTTGTAGCATCCTGTATAGACAAGGACAACAAAAAAGTTTATTGAGCCTTAGAACCACATAACCAGTGTTCACTTTTACTGTCTTTTGCTATTAAACTCATCTCTAATTTACAGTTAGTTTAGTTAAATTTTTCGAGTGATTCTCTTACATCATAGACACAATGAGTTTTGGCTTGGAAAATCTGTTCGAGATCACGACAAGACTTATCTCTCATTTTCTCCTGTCGTTCCCAGGGCTGAATTTTGCAGCACCGCTTCGAGAGGGGTAAGAAGGGGACACTCTATTCCCGTAATGTGCCTATTTCTATGCAAACCCGGGCCTGAAAGATGCACGGGCCCGGTTTCGGGAGACGATCCGAAAGCAGCGCCAGAAGTGTCGTTCGGGCATTATTATCCGGCATTATTTATAAAATGGGCTTTTGTTTCGACGGCGCGGGGGATGGGGAACAAGGTTTAAAGTGATGCAAGGATGTGGGAAAAGTCGCGTGTGGCGAACGACGTCGTGGACCGATTTTTGCCGAGTCGTTTGGTGCGATTGAGGAGGTAGAGAATGCGGATCATCTGTTTTTGTGACACGATGTGTTATAAAAAATTGTATTTTTTATACCGGGTGTTTTTAAAAGTGGCTTACCAAAAAAAAAAGAAAATACATTTTTTTCAAATGACAAACGTTTAATTTTGCTGTTTTTATTGCTTGGACGTATACAGGGTGGTACGAATTGTATTCCGGAAACTTCGGCAGCATATTGTGCATATAAAAATAAATAAAAAAGTTCGTATGAATGTAGGTCCGAAAATGCTTAGCTTCAGAGATACAGGGTGTAAAAGTTTCATTTTTATTTCGATTTTTTCTAAATAATTTCTGAAGTAACGTCAATATTTGGATTAAAATTCGTGTCTAAGAACTCCCATCGGACGCGACCCCAGGTGGCGGATAGGGGAAATAACCGCGGACCAAAATTGGAAAATTCCTTTACTTTGAAACTAAAAGAACTGTTTATCAACTTTTTATTAACATATTTTAGAATGGCCGGCTATATGTGCCTCCCGTCGCCAATTTTTTTTCATCATCATGAACGATATTTTCACGATGAATAAAAAGAAATAAATATTTATTTTTTTTGTACACCCTAATCGATATCTTTCTATAATCGAAACTATCGATTTACTATCGATAGTTCTCTGCCATTTCTCCAAAACTTCCGCTATTGCTAAAACTCCACAAACTTTAAGCTCTCTCTGGTTATTCTCCACCGAACTGGTGTTGTTCGTTACGTGTACGCCTAGTATAGGCCTCGCAAACAACCAGATTAATCTTAATTCCGTTTTAAGATTTTCATTAAAATTTAGTGCTCATAACGCACTCCATTTCAATTTAAACTTGTAGAGCGTATTGTGCTCGGGCTCGCTGGTAATCGGGGGAGTTGTTTAAGTAGACAGACGAAAGTTACTGGCTACAAGTTTCGTAGTGGAGTTTTTAACGGTCTTTTAAACTCATTATGTCGTTAATATAGAAACTTGGTTGATAACTCTTAATAAACAGATAGATTTCTTGAAAAAAATTCTAGGTTTTTTTGACAGTGGAAGAAAGTCACCAAAATAAAAAAAAATATTTTTTGTAATCACCACCGCGTTGAAACCAAACGGAAACCAGAGAGGTGTTTTTTTGCGATTTATTTTTTCTCGTAACTGTGGAAAAAAATCGACTTGGATTGGTTTGGATATTCTGTTTTAATTTGTATTATTAACTTTTTTGTAACAATTTTATTTTATACCAAATTTTATATTATTAATTAATTTCTTTCTGGGAGGTGTAATTACCCCCATCATCCCTACCGTATATGCGCCCCTGTATAGGGCTTGTTTCCCTCTACAATTTCCTGTCTCGCAATGTACCGTTTGTGTCCAGGAAGGGTTCATAGTTTCATAGTTGTCGGTTTTCGAAAGAAATCAGTACATGTATATTATTTCGTATATTTTTCATTTTATTGATTTTATGGAAAGCACTGTTCATTAAAATGTTGTATCCTATGTTATGGGGCTTGTTTCTCTCTACAATTTCCTGTTTCACAATGTACCGCTTGTGTCCAGGAAGGGTTCATAGTTTCATAGTTGTCGATTTTTGAAAGAAATCAGTACATGTATATTATTTCGTATATTTTTCATTTTGTTAATTTTATGGAAAGAACTGTTCATTAAAATGTTGTATCCTATGTTATAGGGCTTCTTTCTCTCTACAATTTCCTGTCTCGCAATGTACCGTTTGTGTCCAGGAAGGGTTCATAGTTTCATAGTTGTCGGTTTTCGAAAGAAATCAGTACATGTATATTATTTCGTATAGTTTTCATTTTATTGATTTTATGGAAAGCACTGTTCATTAAAATGTTGTATCCTATGTTATAGGGCTTGTTTCTCTCTACAATTTTCTGTCTCACAATGTACCGTTTGTGTCCAGGAAGGGTTCATAGTTTCATCATAATAACATAGTTGTCGGTTTTCGAAAGAAATCAGTACATGTATATTATTTCGTATATTTTTCATTTTATTGATTTTATGGAAAGAACTGTTCATTAAAATGTTGTATCCTATTTTGATAATTAACATGGGATTACCTATGTTCCGCGTTATACCTATATTACCTGATGCACCACACGTTAGGATCCTATAAAACAATAAAAAATGATATAAATAATTTTTTTTTGAAAATTTTATATTATCATAAAACTGAAGAAATGTATTAAAATAATTATATGCGTCCAAACAATAAAAACAGCAAGATTAAATATATTTCGTGTAAAAAAATGTATTTTCTGCTAAAGGGGATAAGACTAATAGGCGAACGTGTCCTTTGATTAATTCGCCTTTAAATCAATTTAAATAAACGCTACCTGCTTTGCATAAAAATGGGATCTAAAAGCTTGTCGGCCATTAATAACAGTCTCCTTCTTACATTTGTCCGGTTTTCTTATCAATCTTTTCAAGAAAAAGGGCGCTTATGCGTGGCATTTAGCTTTAATTGCCCCTAGAAATGGAAAGTCCATTGACTGAAAAAAAAACACTGTTCATTTTCCTTTTTTAAACAATTTTAAAGGCAAATATATAAATATTGTACTTTGTAAATAATTAAATATCGAGCAAATACAGGATATACTCTAGAGTGGGACAAAAGTATGAGCTCTTAAGCTGTACGCACACTGGTGCGATCACTGTCGCGACCACGATCACCACGCGGCCGCGGCCAAAAGTTGCTGAAGAATACATATGGGTAGTTTCACATTGGCGCGATCGAGTTTTGGAGACGAACCGGCCTGGCGGCGTTCTATTCTGCGGTGGCGATCAGATTCAACTTGTCGAGTTTGATCGCGTGATCGCGACCCAACTGATAGGAATTTTCCGTTATTTTGTGTCTTTTTTCTTGTTGCAATTTAGAAATGGAGTCAACAGAGCACCTAATTAAAGCTGTAAAAATACACAAAATTCTATATGATTTATCCGATCCGAGTTAGAAAAATAATAGAATTAAAAATAAAAAGTTTGAGACAAAATTGGGGTTGCAATTGGATTGGATAGTGCAAATATATACATAATAATAATTAATACTTTTGTGACGTTTGAAATAAAAGTAATTATCGGATTCACAGTCAGAAAGAAAAATGTTATACACCCAAAACAATGAATAAATAAATCTCAAAGTGGGAAAATATCTGAAGAAAAACGAATCGAAGCCCTTTTTTCCGGTAATAGGGTGCGGACCTTTGCTTAATTGAAGGAAAAATCGGAAAACGAAGAGGAAAAAAGGTGCCGGGGTGGTGGAAAACGCTCCTTCCCCATTCGACGCACGACTAAAAGTAATACTGTATTGGATTTAGTCGTTTTCACGGAGGCGATAAGCCCGCCTTTAAAGCCCTCTTTAGAATAAATACTGCATCGAGGAAAGCGGGATATCTACTTTACGGGATTACGGACATTTCTAAATCGTTCCCCGGCTCTTTTACGTTTTTTATTTTACGGATTTTTCGTCCTTTGCAATATATTTTTCTTTTCATCGATATTAAATAAATAGTTTTAAAAAATGTCTATACCTGGCGGATTCAACTCTTCAAAAAAGTTCTATATGGGGATTTTGTCACTGCAAGAAAATCTACAAAATAAAATAGTTATCTTTTGTAAACACTGCTGGGCGTTCATCCAAAAACAGTAGACCACTGCTGAAAGTCAGTCTCCCTTGGATTAACGCCCAGCACTGTTTACAAAAAATAACTATTTTATTTTAGCAAAGAAAAGCAATAAGAATTTTGCTAAATTTAAATTATCAAGCAGATACAAAAAACGCCTACAAGGGAATGGGAATACTGATACCTCCATGTTGCTATGTCCTTCAGTGTTTTTTATTTGTGAAAGATAACGTAGAACTATTATAGTACGCATAATGAACAACACAATTATGCAACCAGAAACAGAATGAATATAAAGTCTGTACATCTGCGTGTAAAACTCCAGCCTTTGTTATACTTCGGCATGCTTAAAATAAATGTTCTTTAAACGTAAGAAATTTACCAAGACCTCAATTTAAAACTCCAATTAAAAGCTACCTTTTTGGTATGATCAATTTTAGTATTATTGATTTTCTAAAAAGCAGTGAAGGGTTATAGGTCAAAAAAATTGACCTAAAGCATTGAAATATTAATAAATATTTCAGTGGTATACAGTACTTTTAATTACTGTGATGTGCTTATTTTATAATAGTGCATTTTATCTTAACTTTTATCTTGTGTAAAAATATTTTATCTATTTTAACATGCAATAAATGATTGGCCATGACAAATAAACCATTTCCAATACGATACAAGATATATGTAAACAAAACAAAGACATATAGAAAATATCTCATGCAACAATTTGATCGAAGAAAAAGGAAGAAAAATAAAACACCATTTTTTATCTGCTTTAAACGTAATTAATCACAACGTAATTACTAATAGCTGTACGAAAAAACGTGTTTTTTTTAATATTTTTCGTGTTTTAGCCTAAAGGGTCGTTTCATTTACGAAACATGAGCCAGATAATTCAAATAAATCCCTGGAGACCCATTTGGAACTACACCACTGCCGTGCGTTAAACTGATAGGGAAAAATCATAAATCATAATTCCCATAGAAAATTGTTGATTTCAAATAATAATAAATGTGTCTCATACACTTAAAAACTGTGAAAATGTTATCAAACTTTTGTATTGTACCTCATTATCTTTAGACGTATTATTAGATTATTTAAGCATTAGAAAGTTACAGTTTTTATACTATTATGACGTTTGTGACTGATATTTTGTGACTAAATAACCTTTTTTTTATTTTCAGGCAAATCGTATACCATGCTGGGCACACCGGACAATTCAAACACCTTAGGCATCATCCCTTGCGCCATCTCGTGGTTGTTTAAGGGAATCAACGAGCAAAAACAGAAAACTGGAGCAAGGTTCTCTGTACGGGTCAGTGCTGTGGAAGTATGCGGACCCACCAATCAGCTTAGGGATCTTTTGGCGGGATATTCAAATGGTATGCCATAAAAAAATCTTGTTAGAAAAAATAATGAAAAGAAATTGACTGAATTAGTATGACTTATCGTATTATTACTCCAGTCACAATTTATTTAGAAAATCTTCCAAAATTACAGTTTACTTTTTATCGAAAAGAAAATCTTATATAGTTTGAGAAAAAAAAAAATATTATTTTGGATTTGGGATATGTGAAAATGTTACAAGGTATTTTACACGTATTTTCCACCCTTCTTTTCATAAGGGCACAGATGTGTTTTATTGTAGGCTAGTGTCGTAGCTTATAGGGTGAGTTTTTGCGCACTGACGGTAAAGGGAAATATACAAAAATATATTTTTGGACATTGACGCATTTGTATCTAATAAATAAATGTGGTTATAATACCATAGATAAAAGACTTATACTATTAAATAGATAGGCAACTTATAATACATTTCAATTTTATTATACAAGGGCGCCTCTGGTAGGCGGAGGAAGAAATACTAATGGAAGAGAGGGGTGCGGGGAATGGGGGTTGTTTTAGTTAATTTAAAATAAATTTAGACATACATGTAAGAACACTTTGTGTGCTTTTAATTAGGTCGAACATATTATAAACGATAAATCAACTTAATTAAAAGCATACAAAGTGTTCTTATATGTCGGATATTCATTAAAAAATATATTAAAAAGACTAGAAATAGTATATATTAAGTTGTTACAGTTATAATTTAATTTTTGGCGGTTTTCTGCAAATAGCAGACAGTTTTACATAATTTTCCCTCCTTTGAAGTGAATTGGAAACGGCTATATAATTTTGGTGTAGGCAAGATTCCCAGTTTGTTTCCGTTTGAGACCTGAAATAATAAAAACAAATTAAATTAGATGTAATCATCTGCTGATCGTGCTAATATAACACAACGCGCGTCCTTAATTCCTTACATGCACCGTAAATAAAATTAAATAACTGCTCAGCAAGTAGCATTTATTAGCAGTACTAATTTAATAAATCTATAACTGTAAGTAGATATGTTTAATTTACTTACCATTGTATCCTTCGGAAACCAGGTGTACAACAAGTCAAGTACAACAAGTGTAGTACAAGAGTCTATACAAAACACAAATTGTCCCACCATTTTTAAAAAACATTATCTAAAACAGAATACTGGCAAAAACTCTGAAGGAATTTAATTTTACAATAATTAGACAAATCAAAACGAAATCAAACCGTAAAATCACAACAAAAGCGTCTCTGAGTGACAGTTAAAAATCAAATTTTATTATTGTCAGATATTGACATTTGCGTTGTTAATATTGACAGTTTTAATATTTTGCGCCTCTGCATCTTGGAGGAAAAACTATTTTTAATGAACCGTCATTTCCATTTAAGTTTCCCAGCCATGTTATAATACCAAAATAATAGCGCTATTTTTTGACGTTCTTATATGCATATAATGGCCTGTAATTTGAGACTTGTTTAAGTAAATTTAAATTATTAATATTTATACAATATTCTTTAAATCTAGTTAATATTGATGTTCTAGTTTGCCCAACATACTTCCGATTACAGTCTTTACATGAAATTTCATAAATACCCGACCTTTCCTGTGGAGGTGTTTTATCTTTAGGATTACCTAATAATTGTTGTAATTTATTATTAGCAATATAAACAAATTTATAATTGACATTCTTAAAAATTCTTTTTAAACCACGAAATAACTCTCTATCGTACGGTATTGAAAAATATTTTGACGTATCTTTCTTCACTTGAAAAGTCAATTTTCAGAAATTGCAAATTTATATAGTCTATAAAATGAATAACTTTGAATTTTGACCGTTATTTTTTACCAACATTGCAAATATCAAATCCCTCTGTCCAAAAAGTTACTGATGTTCTTTAAAATGAGTGCCTGAACGAATCAGATAGGTAACTCTTTTTACTTTCGTGAAATAGAAAAGGAAAATAATAAAACAAGTGACAGTTCTTCCACTTCTTGCAAAAAATCGCCGCGAAATGTCATAATTGACAAAAGTAAAATGTCATCAGCTTTTGACATTTCTAAAGATCAGCCCAATGCCGTCTCTAATAGAACAGCCTCGGAGCGAGATTTATGACGTCACGCTAGTTAGATACCACGGATTAATAAATATGTTGTAGAATACGTTGAAAACATAATTATTCCTCGTATTTTTGGTTTGTATTTTAAAAATGATATAGTTTACATGAAATATACATAATATACAGTTAATAAATACAATATATATACCTATTTATAGTAATAAATACTTTGGCAAATAAACTATGAACCATACAAATGCAGCAAATGTTTTACAATATACAAATAATGAATAGGTACATAAGATAAGGGGTAAAATATAAAATATATTTTAAATTTTGGGGTTTGAAAATCTATCTAATTTAACAAAAAACATTCAATATCTACTAATAGTGATATATTATTATTTGCATTCACAAAATTTATATGTATATTTTGAAAGCATCAATGTTTGAAAAATTATATTTGCAAATAATACAATATCATAGAAAAAAAGGCGTCAGCGATGGCTATGAAATAAAGATCGCTCTCATTTTATATGTAAAATTATTCTAAAATTTTTGATTTTCTTGGGATATAGGTTCGGGAAAAACGCTGATTAAGTTTTCATTATTTTTTTTGGTTTAAAAAAACGTTATAGGTAACGTTTATAGCTTTCATCAGTGTTGTGTCATATGAAAAAAATAGTGTCGAATATAATCCATAAAATTGCATATACGAGGAATAATTATGTTTTCCATGTATTCTACATCATATTTATTAATCCGTAGTATCTAACTAGCGTGACGTCATAAAATTCGCTCCGTGGCTGTTCTATTAGAGACGGCTTTGCATCAGCATGGCCGCAAGTTGCTAACTTAATAAAATTAACACTAGGAAAACCCGCGGGATCTGTCAAATTCAAAGTTATTCGTTTCACAGACTATACCTACGTTTCCTAATTATTTTATCAACTAATAAAGAATAAGCAACTCTAAAGTGGTTATAATACCGTATAATCGAAAAAAAAAACGGCGTTAAACACGGCTTGGGAATGACAATCGATAATAATTTTGGAAAGGTCAATCTCTAGACGTCGGTTACTAAAAATTGACATAAAACTTGTCAAAATTAACACTAATTATTAAAAAACCGTTAAAAGTAAAGAACTAACTTTTACTAGTTTAAAAAAAATCCGATACGAAAAACTCTTTGTTTTATCAGTTCAACAGGACCAAATACTTCGTAAAATACCAATAATTAAAGAATGAAATAAAAAAAATTACGTCGTCGCACAAAAATGAGCAATTATTAAACAATCTCAATTTTACCGATAGCGGGAAATTCGTTTTTATTGCGCGGTTTAAAACACCCCCCCAATTTGAAGGGCTGCAAGAAGGCACAGGAACGCTTCTACACCCCTCGCCTCGAATTTCGGGGTTAAGAAAATTAATTATTTTTTAATTCGCGGAAATTGTAACTTTTTTTTGGCTCCGGTTTTCATTAGACGGGGTTGGTGGTTTTAATTAAATCATAAATTGTTCGGAATTTCGTTTTTATTTTGACGGATTTTTTCTCGCATATCCAATTTGGCTTGTTTTTGATTTGTATAAAATATTATTTGATGATTTGGAACTGATCTTTAGTGTTCTAATTTGTGTTTTTTATTACTTCATGTAAAAGAATACAGGATGTGATGATAAAATTTAGAAATATTTACACAATTTAGTGGTAACCAGACTTCCATAAAATATGCACTTTTGCTTAAATTTTAAGAACCACTGAATCTTTTCTGGATTTTCTTTCTTGTAAATTTAATCTATTACCTATGTTGCCACATTATCAAGAAATTATGAATTTTTACTAAAAAAAAAATCAAAAAATTCTTAGTTTTCATTTTTTTTTCGCTAAATAAACCTTATAATTATGTTTCTTGGGGCGAAATCAGACACCCTGTATAAGAAAGGAGAAGTACAAACAAATCCAGAAGAATTTATAACTCTTCAAGGCAAAGCTAGCCTGTATGTTTCTATAATCTATAACTGACTTCTCGGAACACCATCCATCAAAACCAAAAGCATCACCGTGCTGGTTTACACATTTATTTCCCTCTGTCTCTTTTCTATGCCTCCCATTCTCTTCCTCGCACATCCCCTCTCCCCCTAGGCCACTCCAGACAACTTCTGGCTGCGAGTCCTCGAAAATCTCGAAACGCGCGTTTTCCCGAAATGAATTTAATGAATTTCTGGTACTCGAGAGAAACATTGTAAGTCGCCGGATAAAACAAAGGCGCGCATAATATTAGGATAATTGCCTAAATTAATTAAAACTAATCTTGGCATAACTTGGAGCGTCGACAACGTGCGACGAGTTCTCAGTGTCTAGAGTAAGCTAAATTTGATTTAAATGTCCTCTGGAGAAACATATGTTCTTGAGTGTTAAAATGATATTGTCGTAAGACCTCTTAACTTGAAAACTAAATACTCCTAAACACTTTTTTTTCTTTTTTTTTCTTTTTTTTTCTTTCTTTCTTTTTTTTTTTTTCTTCTTTTCTTTTTTTTCTTTTTTCTTTCTTTCTTTTTTTTTTTCTTTCTTTTTTTTTCTTTCTTTTTTTCTTTCTTTCTTTTTTTTTTTTTTTTTTTATCTTTCGGGGGACCATCTACATCATTGAAACGTGCCTGCAACATCTCATCCGACAGTCAAACAGCCCTAAGAGCTATCAACTCAGTAACATACCAAGAAACACCAAATAAACATGAATAATATTATATATTGATAACAACCGAGAGAGTTTACACGTTTTATTTTATTCAAATTACGGGAAACACACAAAACTACACTATAACAATATCTTTCTCAAGCGATAAGCTTGCCAACCTGAGTACAGAGAATGCCTTCTGTCATCTTGACTATCAAACCATCGACAGACAAATAAAAAGAGACTGGCAAATTAAATGGCAAAGAGGGGGACAATGTTCCCGTAGC